TCCCAGTATGAAAATGAAATTAAATTTAATAAATGCAGCTAACAAGCGTGAGTGGGCGGGCGCGGGAGAGAAAGGGGACGCGACAGGCAGCATGACATGCACTTCATAAAACTTTGCTCATATAAATTGAAATTGAAATGAAATGAAATGATGATATGTAAAAGACAGAGTTGACAACAGCGCAAGTTCACGCTGAAGCTGTGTGTGTGTGTGTGTGTGTTTCACTCTGTATCGCCCGTGTGCCTATCAAGCAGAAGACACAATGCCGCTTGCTGTCAGTAAAAAAGGAAAAAAAAAATTGTTGGCCAAACAACAAGTGGACCAGGAAAGGGGGACAACTCCAGGCAGGCTGGGGCCCAGTTTGGGGCACTGCAAAACAACTTAAACTGTCATTGGAAAGTTAGCAAAAAGCGTTTGCTGCTGCGAGGTATTAAGAAAGTTTTTGTTGTGCACAGCTCTCAGAGCAATTACGCAGCTCGCTACCTCGTATTTTTGCAGGCAATAAATTTTGAGTACCATGTGCGGAATTCACCTGAGTGAAACAAAATGTAGCTGCATACTTTTGGGCTGACTGTCTGAGTGGCTGACAAAGCAACGAGCCGCATGTTCGACTCCCTGGCAATGTGCAAAATTCAATTAGCTGGCCTCAAGCGCATCTGGAACGCATTCAAGCAGTTGCCACGTGGCATGCGCTGCAGTTTTAGGAATGCTTTGATAACTCGCACACGCACACACACAGGCGCATAGAAACAATGTGAGTGCTTATTTGTGTGTGTGCTGCATAGCTGCTTCAATTACGCCGAATATGTCACATTAATTATTCGCATTTATGGGGTTTTCGATGCTTTTGATAGAATACGACGAGGGACCAGACTGTGGCGACAATGCGCCAGAAATTTAAGTCTACTTTATGACAAGAATGTGTTCCTGTTGTTGTTAGTGTCTGTGCTTGATGGTCGGTATGTGTGTGTGTGAGTGTGTGAGTAGCATTAATTGAAATTTGTTTTTGTATGTCAGCTGCACACGAGTTGCTTCGGGAAATCTGTCTGCAGTGTGCATTTTGCGTCAATTAAAAGTTAATTTGACAAAGCGAGACATTTCAAATTAATTTTGGTGTAAACAGCGTTTTAATTCAATTTACATATGATATATAGGTGCCAGAAACATGCACAGGTGCATCAGGCTGTGTGCCTGGTTTAGTTTTATTAAATGCGTTCACAGTTAATTAGCCACAGAGTCTTCGACCCGTATGAAATATCTAATAATTGCTTGTGTTTGGGATACAGGCTACAATTGTGTACGGTTTAGTACACAGCTTGCACCAATGTCATGGCTTCAAGTTGGGCTCATGAACATGGTTTTCGACTACTGTTCAAATATCTTCTGCAAGAAGTCTAATTAATGTTTGGAGCCCTAAAGTATGCCTTTTGGCTGGCGATCCCTTTAAAGTTTTATACTCCGAACACAACCTTCTTTGAAAAAAATATAGCTTCCGTTTCTGGCTTTGACTCGGTTATTTTAATCGAATGCCAGCGAATTGTTGCATACGTATTTAGGCCGTAATTAAAGTAGCCCCTTTCCAATCAGTGCCGTCCGTCAAATGGCCACTTGACGCCCATCGGTGTAAGTGCGTGTGATGCAATTACTTAATGACAGGTTCATGGTGGGGCCGACAGTCTGCACGGCCGCCAAGTGGTTAGGCTTAATGTTTGAATTGCCGCCTCAATGCCGACTGCAACAAAGCCACGGGGGCTACAAGGCAATATGCGGCACGCAGCAGACCACAAACAAACGGGCTCCTAGCCGTTTTCACGTCAACTTATGCCAGCAGCCTGTCAGCAACAGGACTCGGTCAGGGCTGATATTGCTGCTACTGCAACTGCAACTGCTACTGCTACTGCTACTTATGCAAATGCTTAGCAGCACGGCTGCCACTTGCCACTTGCTCTTGCCACTTGACGGCCGTTGTTGCTCATGTATAGAAAGTTTGATTACCGCCATCATTGCAGGCACCTAAAGAGTGCCACAGACAAGTGTGGGCGTAGGTTGGTTGACTTTCTCTCTCTCTTTCGCTTTCTCCCTGTCTCTCTCACTACATGGGCTGCACAATTGTGTTGATTGCGCAGATGACAAGACGCAACGGCAACGGCAGCGGCTGCTCCTCGCCTTGATGACAATGAAGTGCATGCATGAATATTCTAATCAAATGAGCCAGCACACAGGCGCGTTGCCAGACTGTTAGACTGCCAGAGTTGCCTTACTGTCTGGCCGTCTGCCAGCACACGGCCTGTGTCGGCTGCTGCAACGGCTGCTACATCCTGAGCCTGAGCCTGAGCCATTGTCAAGCTGTAAAATTTTTGCATTACCATCACATGTGTGCGGCACCCACCCCTTAACACACCAGCCAGCTCCCCTGTTAGTCAAGTCAGTCGTCAGTCAGCAACCACATGCTTTGTGTTTTGTTGGGCTGGGCAAAGTTTCAAAGTCAGTTCTCGACCCGCTTCATTCGTTTCGTTTCGTTTCGTTTCATTCACTCACTGAAATCGAATTTGCATAATTTAACATGATGGTTGCGCTTATTCCTGTTGCCTGTCAGACAGACCTTCAAATACCGCCCATCCCCGCTGCCGCTGCCTCAGCTTCTGGCTCTGCTTCTGCCCAGCTGTTATTGTTGTTCGTCCCATTCTTTTGCTACTGCTGCTGTTACCTCCACATTCACCACATTTGCCGCCACATGCATCATCATTTGCATACATTTTCAGTTCGCCAGTCATCCAGCCAGCCAGCCAGCCAGTCAGTCAGTCAGTCAGTCGACTCTTGCTTGTCCTTTGCCTTCATTACTTGCTTGCACCGTTTACACATTTGATTTGCCACCCGCTGCCGCATGCCACTGTGCCCAGCCCCTGTTCTCTGCCCACAACCGCGTGGCTTGACTCGATTTTCTTTGAATATAATTCGCAGCAGCGAGAAAAAATTGACGTTGATGGATTTTGGCACTTACACAGAAGACTAGCGCCCTGTCACTACGCCAAAAACTTCGTTGCCTGACTGGCTGACTGACTTTGAAGCGCATTTTAATGAAGAATGATATGTTCGCATTGCCATCGCCATCAGACCACATCAGAGCCCATCAGGCCATATCGGGCCACATCAGAGCCCACAACAGCCGCCAGCACACGGACCACAAGACCACATCAACTGACAGTTTTCGCGGCTTTGAACTTTTCCCTGTCGAAGGGCGACATCGACAAGTTTTTGCTTGTCTTCTTGAGCAACAACAACAACAGGGAGAAGAGAAAAAAGTCGAGATCGGCAAATTATTCTTATAGCTGTTTTGTCATCATGTTGCCTGCAAGTTTCTGTAGGCTGACAAAAATATAAAGATGTGATTTTACATAAATTTATTGGCTCATCCTTGTTAAATTTGACAGCAATTCGATTTAGCTGTTAGATAATGATTGGATTATTGCGGAAATAAATAAGCGACTAAAAATATGCTATATGATAATGTACTTTCTTGGTTTGAGGACTGAGTCAGAAAACGTGTTGAGTAGAAAGAACATGGAAAGTTTTAGAAATGATTTCCTACCATTGAGGAATAAATTGGGCTCAACATTTTTGATTTTGAAAATCGACTCAAATTTAAATAGGAATTTTTTCTTATTTTGCATTTACTTTGAATCTTGTGCAAGTTTGTTGTTATTTTAATGTGGCCCGAAAGCAAAATAAAAAGTACAAAAACAAACAAACTGTTGAAAAGTGTCGCTGGTTAGTGCCACGCCCACTGTTTGTTGGCCAGCTGCTCGCTCACAGGCGCTGGTAGCAGCGCCTTTTCATGCATATCAAAATGGCAACAATAAACGGCAACAAAAGAACAACAATAACAAACATTAACATACAACAATAGGCGACGCCGACAGCGGCAGTCAAATGTTGCAAATGTAAGCAAAATAAATGTGTGTGTGTGTGTGTGTGTGTGTGTATATGTGACTGTATGCGGACACACACCCGCTGTGTGTGTGTGTGTGTGTGTGTGTGTGTGTGTGCGCAAAACCAAAACTTTTGACATAATAAAATGAAATGTTATTGTTAAAAAGTTACTTGCATATTAAAACAAACGCAACTTTTTTCCTAACGTTTTTTTGTTTTTACTTTCTTTGTTGTTGTTTTTTTCTGCTGTGAGAGTGTGTAAAAATATGCACACAAATACACAGAAACACATTCACATAAATGCAAATGGGCAGCGTGTGAGCGTGCAAGCAGCGCCGTGTGGAAAAGCAAACAACTTTAATTGAACTGTTTACCCGATTTTTATTTTATTATGTATGCCAACAATACGAATTCTGGAATTCTGGAAACGCTGCTTGCCAAGCTGTATAATTGTAATGGTTATGTTTGTGATGATTATTTGGCTCGTTGCACAGCTGCTAAAATGTTACCAGGGCCATTCCAGCTGGCTTTTTATCTGACAGCCAGCCAACAAAAGCACGTAAGTGCCCAATCTGGGCCAGTGTGTGTGTGTTTTTGTGTTGCAGCAAAGCGGCAACTAGTATCAGCTGCTGCTGAGCGAATAATTTGCTATGATTCGAGTTGCAAACTGAACAAAAGATGCAAAATATGTGTAGCATACTTTTGAGAGAGCGCAACTTTAATGATATTCATGTGTATCCTGTACCCAAAACGAAATTTTTGTTGTGCCTAAGTTTGAATCGTATATATTTCAAATATCCTAAATGAAAGTGATTTTGCTTTTTCCATTTCGTGACCTTTTCCTTAGTTGGGTTATTTCTGCAGGAATAAACTTACTTAAACACATTTGGGTATAGCTTATGAGAGTTAAAGTCATATAGAGAATTACCACTACATATCAAAATAAACTATTAAGAACGTCAACACAATGAAAACTGGCAAACAACAAATAACGAGCTCAACACGTTACGTATACTTAATATTGAAATAATTATGTTTCAGCACACAGTGTGACTGTGGGACGTACTTACCTTTGCTAGCACCGTCCGGGCCACGCAATATGGTGCACTCCTCTATAGTGCCAAAAGGATGAAATATTTGTCTAACATCGTCTTCGGTTTGTTGTTTGCTGAGCATGCCAACGAACAGCTTGCGATCTAAATGCTCTGTATTGTTTTTGTTTGTTTTTCAGTTTTTTTTTTTTGTTTTTTTGTTTTTATTTTTGTTTGTCGTTGTATCAAAAGAGGCAGCAAAATGGAAGAGTGGCATGTGTGAAAATCAAATTGTAAAAGCCATAGCATTAGAAAGAAGTTGGCCAATAATGCAAATCAAGCGAAAGTTACCGAAAAATGTCAGAAACGGAAACGGAAATAGAAAATAAGTTAATACCGAACAAAATCAGGCCATATGAGCGTCATAATATATATGTGACATATATAAAGATGTAAATGCAACAAAGTTACACATTACGCAACAGTTTTGTAACGAGTAACAAACGCAGCAGGCACATTGAATAAAATTTAGTTTAATTTATTGTTATTTTTTTTTTTTCAAAAATTGTAACGAGCGCAAAATTACCAAACAAATAATAAAAAAAAATAATATAAAGTTAAACCAAAGTTATAATCAAAGCAACAACATTTAGTTAACGAAGTTTATTATATTTTGGTTTTGTATTGGTGTTGGTTTTGATTTTGACACCAAAGGAGCAAATACAATTACAACATTTATTAATGTGGAGGGGATTAAAAGGAATTTTTCAATTTCGGAATTGGCAACGTTTTGTAATATGCCAAGGGGTTTTGTTTTGTTTTGTTTTTGTGTTTTGTTGCAAGGGTTGCATTAACAAATTTTGGTTTATTAAATTGAAAAGCAAAAAAATAAAATTTAAAATAAAAAATAAACATTGTCAGTATTCCAATTTTGCCAATTTTGATGTTTTTTTGTTTTCAATTATTTATATATATGTAAATACATATATATATATGTATATATATATATTTATTTTTTTATAAAGAGCACGAACAAGTGTTACATAAAAAGGAAAGAAAAGAAGATAAAAATGGGTGATATTTAGTAAAATTGTCGCACAGTTTTTTTTTTTTTTTTTTGGTTTTTATGTAACTTACAACTTACAAAATGGAAAATTTCTTATTACAATAAGTATAACAATTAGCTAAATATATATATGTATATGTTTATATGGAGCACTATACGTACACGTACACGCACACGCAAATACATACATACGAACTGACCACACACGACAGAGCTACAAGTTTATATAGACATTAAAAGGTAAATAACATATTAGCCACTACTTGGAAAAATATTGAATATTTATAAAATTATATGTATACATAATTAGAATAGCGATTTAGAGATTTAAACCATAAATATTGGCAGCTTAAGAGAGCGTATATATTGTAATACCTGGCGTGGGTTACTTTTAATTAAATTAACAGAATCTTTGGCTTAGTCTAAAAACTTGACTTGTGTATGTTGAACAACTAAACTGGTTATCGGCATAAGCATAAAGCGCTTAAGCTAAAAGTCTGCACTGCAAACCAAAAACCCATCGCACACTTATTTGCAGTTCCAATCCCAAATCCCAACTGGGTCTCATATCGAAAATTGAGCGTTCAATTATTGCCAAAACACTTGGCACATACACACAGAGGATATCAAGAGATGATTGTGGTAGAGGCAGAGGCAAGCTGTAAGGCAGCTGCTGCTGTTGTCGCGTTAAAGTGGCAAAAGCAATCGAAGTAGAAAATAACTAATACGACACGTTAGCCGGCCGTGCAGACTGAACTGGCCTGCAGGCAATTGTCTTGCCGGGGCGTAAGCCTAATGGCATTTGTGTCCCCAACTGAACCTGGCCCCAACCAAAGCAACTTCCACCTACTCAACTGGGGCTAAGCACGTGCAATAAGCCAAACAACGCCGCTGGCATGCTAAACAACAAAAAGAGGGCCTAAGTGGCAACGATATGGGGCCAAAAGGGTTGCCCACATAAGGTCGAAAGGGGCGAGCTTAATAAAAATGTAAAGCACGTGGAGCACACTCAAAAGGTAACAAGGACTAAAGGTGCAGGTAAAAATAGTGCAGCGCACACACACAAGCACACACACCTATACATGCGAAATGGCATAGTTCAACTGGCTGTTAACAGTTGCGGCGCCAAAAAGCAGACAATGTAGAATAAAAAGTGAATAGAAAAGGCAAAAGAAACCACTCGGTCGACAGGACAGGACTCGGTGGAACAGGCCAAAAAGGATTTGCACGATGTTTAGCCGTTGTTGCAGCAATTTTCCACTATTACCCAGTCACAGGTGCTGGCGGCCGCAGGACGATGGCAACATGACGGCATAAAATGCACACAATTTTCAGTGATTCCTTTTTGGCCCGGGCCAAAAGGCCAAGCCGAAGCGAAAGCCAAAGGAAAAGCAAAAGCAGTGAAAATAATATTAAAGGCCATTAGGCTCATATAGACAAGTTAAGTGGCTCTTTTTAGTGTCGCCCGTGCGCCTCTGCAAGCCCCCCCTTTGCTCTGTTTGCTCTTGGCTCTAGCTTACATGTGCGCCATACGAGTGTGTGTTGGCAGTTTTTAGATTTTATTTTATGCCTCGGCTGTTGCCAAGGCAAAAGAAGTCATTAACGTGTCGTTGTCTTTGATGCTCATGCTCGAGCAGGAGCAGGAGCAGCAGCGGCGGCAGCGGCAGCGGCAACAGCAGCAGCAAAACCAAAAAGAAAGCCAAATTAAATTAGTTAACCACATGGCAACTTTTGTCTGCAGGGCGACACAGAGCAGACAGCAGATGGGAGGTTGTCAGAGCTGCATGGAGGCACCACTAATTGTTGCATGTTATGTTTTTGCTTATCTTTGGGGCTGCCCCCGAGCGCAGTCAGCTCGAAATGCGCCCTAGACAAGTAATTGTATTTTAAATGTTAGCCAAAGGTGAAAAGGCCAGCCAGCAATGTCGCGTCTATAAATTATACAAGAAATGGTTAACAAAAGAGCGAGAAAGCAAGAAATGAGAATCTGTTGTAGCAAAAGAGTCGCTGACAAAGCTCAAAGCTCATGTGTTCCCAGCTACATTTTTCCCTGACATTTTTCTTTGCTTTTTTCACTTTTTTTTTGTTCGTTTATTTTTACAGCTGCCTTTTGGCTGGGCACTTTTGCCAATTGACATGTAAATTGACATTTAATGGTTGCTAATGAGCGTCTGAGGATTAGTTTCTTTCAGCCGGGCAACGCGGCAAGCTGAGCACTGGAAGGACTCAGTTATTTGCATAGGTGCCACGGGGAATGGGGAATTGAGAGAGAGAGCGAGAGAAAGAGGGGTGACTTTAATGCGAGGATTACCGACTGTAGCTAATAATGAGCCCCCCAGTTATTCTTGATGTATAAAGTATTTGAGGTATAAGCATACATAATTCAAATAAAAATAATAATGCTCTTTTTGTTTTTGCGTACTTTGTTACTTTAACTCATAATTGCTTTAGCCACTTTGAGTTATTAATTAATCCAGCTGCCATTGCCGCTGACAATATTTTTGCCATTTAAAGCCTTTAACATGGCAAACAAGTTGCTGCAAAATTGTAGCTAATAAATCATTAAGCAAACAAATAAATACTCCATTAATTTTCACAGCTTAGCACACAACGAACGCAAAAACCCCACAGAGGACGTTGCACAACTAATTTGAAAGCTGCTTCTAGAAATCGCCTGCTAATGCGACCAATTCATATTGAAAACTCTTAATCAGATTATGATGGATGGCTGCCGGAGCAGCTTTGCGGACCTCAAATGCAATGTAAATATATTTTAGTTATTAATTATTTTGTGGGCATTTTGAATCCGAAAAGCAAAAGCTGTTTTCCAATTACCAGTTGAGACCGGGCTGAGGACTCGTCCTTAGTTGCGGCTCCAATAACATTTGTTTAGCAAAAATTGATTGAAATATGAGTATGAATAACACAAACACAATATCCCAGCCCATGTTTGTGTCTGTGTACCTGTATCTATATCTGTATCTGCTTTCGTCTATGTTTATTTTGACATAAATTATTGAAATTGTAATTACTTAGGCCAGGAATGGGGAAATGAGCAAAGTCGCATATTAAGTAGTACTTGACAGCGTTTTAATTTTATTCCTGTCTTTTTTGCTAATGCAAATTTAATTAGTTCCGCTGCCCGTAAACATGTTTCTTGGCTTTAGTTTTACATGTGCACTTTATATACCTCTTAAGTGCTGTGATTGATGATGATGGAATTGCATTAACTACGCGCAACGGACTAATTAAAATGCAATTTTTTATTATGATTGGTCAGGGCATGGGATAACATTAGCAAAAACAAAAATAGAAATCGATCTCAAAGTATTCCATACGAAACGAATCGTCAGTTAGTACTTGGCCCCCAGTCAAATCAATAGATACGATATCTAACCTATGTTTATGTATAGAAATTTGAGCTTAGTTCTGGAATAATAACCGGCTGTCTATCAATATTCCACAGCCACGCCCAGTCGCTGCAGGCGCAGGCACTGTGAAACCATTTTTATGGCTCGCATCAGCACAGTCTGCCTGGCATCCTGGCACTCCAGCATCCTGGCAGGCAGGCTGCCTGCCCAGCCGTCGAGGTGTCAGTATTTATACAGCAAATAAGCTAAATTTTTCCTTTATGACTCCCACAACGGGCAAACAGTTGGTGGATGAATGCGAATGCGAGTGCCGGCATCGTCGCCAGACAATTGTGTGGCAATTGTCAAAAGTCTGCCCTGTCAAATGGCAGGAATTGCTATTCCATACTCCACACTGCACCCTTCCATACCCGAACCACCGTCTAAACTTAGGGCTGACGTTTATATATGACTAGTGATAAGTCAGCGTCAGGCAAGACGTTGACACCAAGTGCAAGTGGGGTCCCGGCTATGCGGCCGATGTTCTCTCTGGCTGTTTTGTGTCTCATTTTGCGCTTTGTTGTTGTTATGATGCCGTGGAATCCTTTGGGTCTCTTTGGGGCCTTAAAGCGCTCAGTTTATTTGTCAGTTTGAAATTTACAGTAATAAGCCCAAAGTTGAGCATAGGCTGGGGACACGAATGACAACGATGGCGTGCAAATGACATGTAGAACCGAGTATAGCAACAGCCCGGGCAT